CCCGTGACAATGCCTCACGGATCTGCGGATCTGCACTCGGAAGGCCCAAAGGCAAGTGGCCGAAGCCAGAAAGCGCACCAGCGGGATGAAGGATCTGTGCTAGCAGGCTGAGGGAGCTGAACTGGAGTCAGGAAGCAGAGCTCTAGGTTAGAACCACAGCTCCTCCAAAAAGTACCACAGCCATCCTCAGCAACAGTGAGGTCTCGAGCTCCTCGGACAAGAAGGAAAGATGAGTTTCCATCAGGAAAGGCAACACATGAAGTTTCTCCAGAGACTGGGCAGTGCACCATCTCCCCCGCTGGAGCCACGAAATGATATCAGAGTGAGGACCAGAGTTCCCCCAAAGTGAACCATAGCCATTCTCAGTGACAACAAGGTCCTGAGCTCCTTTGGCAGTGTTCATTAGGAAAGCCAGCAGGACAAGCCCTTCCAAAAGAACCGGCAGCTCCCAACAGCTTCTCCAACAGCTTCCCCACAGCTGCACTGATAGCCTCCTCCAGCTGCGCCTCTTATGCTGCCGGCAGCACCGCTCAGCTGGCCTTCCGCACCCAGCACCACGCTGGTTCAGTTCAGCTGGGTGGTACAAGCTGACCACCCGTTGTCATCTACCACAGATAAGTACAATTTGCTTGTTTTTCAAAGATACGGAGAGATTAAGTAGGGTCTCTAAAATTACAGCCGTCTGACACAGTTCTGGTTCGCGACCTCAAAGTTCCTGTCTCAGCGAGCTCAGCATCCTTATCTGATGCCTGTAGCTCGACCTCACCCCATTCCGGTCCCACCGACCTCCTTTCTCTTCCTGGAAGTGAGCCAAGCTCCTGCCTCCCTTCTTGCTATTTCCTCTACCCCAAGAGCCTTTCTCTAGTCCGCTGCGTGGCTGGTGCCTTCGGTCTCAGATGTCTGTTCTAAATTTAGTCTCCGCTTCTGTGCACCACGTTTTATTCCCATTAGTATTTATTATGTTCTGAAATTTTTGTTCTTAATTCTCCCTATCAGATATAAGCTGATCCCTACCTCATTCATTGGCTGAAACTGCCTCCCATACCGAAATGCTGTGTTACACCCATAGGCTATTGTACCTGTTTTGAGGTATTACAACACTGCGTACTCCGCTCCTTTCTCAAATTTATTACAGTCTTTGCTGTTTCCACGAAAGCAATACCTAAGCCTTTAGATAACTGAGCTTTGCTTTACGCAGATGGGTCAGCAGGAGGCGATGTAAGAGGAGGCCTCCTTTCGTGCACTCCGACGCTCTAGCTGAACTGAGACATAGAGTTGAGAGAGAGGCGGAATAGGGAGGCGGGGCCAACTGGAAGGAGGTGGAGCAGAGCGTGACCCCGCCCCTTCAGGACGGCTTTTCCCTGCCTCGCCCCGCCCCTTCCCCCGCCCAGGCGGCCATGGACATTCCCGGCATCCCCTATGAGCGACGGCTTCTCATCATGGCGGACCCTAGAGATAAGGCGCTCCAGGACTACCGCAAGAAGCTGCTGGAGCACAAGGAGATCGACGGCCGTCTGAAGGAGTGTGAGTGCACCTTTCTTTCCATATAATCTCGCCGTGGGCCTCACATCTGCCTCTGACAAGACAAAGGCCTTTGGTTGAGCCGGGCAACCGAGCCCTGGCGATGGGAAGGCCTCGGTCCGGGACAACTCGCTTTGTCATCCCGCCCAGAGCTGGGGAGCTGCGCCCGCGCGGGCGTGGAGAGGGTCCAGGCCGGTGCCGGGGGCAGAGAGAACATCCACGGCCCTGGTGTAAAAGTGGAAAAGGACCACGGACGAGTGGGGACGAGGTGGGCTAGGCGTCTCCCGGGTTGGGGTGCGAAGAGCCGGTGCCCCGTGCAGGGAGGACGCGCGAGTCGAGGAAGCCCCAGCGAGGGCTGAGACCCGGGCGGCCTGTGGCTGGAGTCGCAGCCGGACGTGCTGCTTGGGAGAGAAGGGGTCCAGGGGTCACAGGAGCCCCTGTCGTCTTCGCTCTTGTCTTACGATGTGCATTATCAGGCATCCGAGTTTACACGCGGAACACTTGGGGTTTTATTCCCAGCGCCTTCCTTGAAAACCCTGAGTCTTTTCATTAAAAAGAAGGAAGACCATCACCGTATGATTCCGAGGAGAATCGCATTGTTGACTCTATGTAGGGTAGAAAACTAGGGAGTGATGTAGGTGGTAGGTGAGGTGAAGGGTTTGATTGTCTTTTGGATTTGTAGCCCGCAGTCCTGTTGGGATATCAGTATCTGCTAAGAATGTAACTTAAAAACTGCTTGAATAAATAATTATTGTGGTTCAAAAAATTTTTATTTTTACTGTCACCTTTTAGTATTGTGGGTATGAAATTTATATAAAGTAGACAAATTAAAACTAGGAGACATAAATGTACCAAGATCATTATTTAATGTAAAATCTCCAAATTATATTATTTCAGTAAGGGAACAATTAAAAGAACTTACCAAGCAGTATGAAAAGTCTGAAAATGATCTGAAGGCCCTACAAAGTGTTGGGCAGGTAGGTATTGGAGTTTGGGCTGTAGGGGGTGATGGCAATTTGCTTTATATTTTAGCCATTAGCAAAACATAATGCTTTTTTTTTCTTTCTTAGATTGTGGGTGAAGTGCTTAAACAATTAACTGAAGAAAAATGTAAGTGTATCAACTTACTAGTAAAGAAAAATAGCCAGCTCCCCCAGTTTTTGAAATATTTGTTACTTTTGTGACAGTAATATAGGGAGATGATATACATAGATATATATAGATATATAGATATATAGCCACATCAATGGAGGGATTGGTTATTATTTATATGTGAGGGCTGGTGAGATAGCTCAGCAGACCAAGCACCTGCTTAGGACAAACACAGGGACCGGGTTTGATCCCTAGCACAACTTCTTGCACCAGCCCCACCCCTGGATTCACTAAGCCAGCTACCAAGTCCAGGCACGCTTGTAATCCCAGCACTGGGAAGGCTGAAAACAGGAGAATCACTTGAGTCTGAACTGTGTAGTAGGACCCTGTACTACATACATATATATGTATGGATGGATAGATATGTGTGCATATAATGTATATTATTATTTTTATGTATGTATGGATTTTATTTTTCAACTTACTCTATTGTTTTCTTCTTCTAGTTATTGTTAAAGCTACAAATGGACCAAGATATGTTGTGGGTTGTCGCCGACAGGTAATAGTTGACATCAATACAGTGCCTTACAATTGATAAGTGTTTTTCTATCAGCTGTTATATCTAATTCTTGAGGTAAGCAGGTCAAGCATTACGCCTTGTGACTTTCATTGATGACTGGTTCCTGTATGGCAAATTATTAGCAAAGCCAGAATTAAAATGATGGGCTTTTACTCTTTATTTCCTATTTCCTACTGTATCACAGTACCTCAATCAGATCTGCATACTTAGAAATCAAAGAATTTTAGAACTGAAAATGGATCATTCTATTTTAATGTCTTTTCTGATGAGGATTTTAAAGCATTGGACACTAGCAGATACCCATGTTTTACATGCAAACATTCGAGAAAGTTAAGGACTACTCTGGCCTATGTTAATTTTGTATGAGGTCGTTTAGGTGAGAAGAGTACAAAAGAACTGTAGATTTTACATTATAGTTATTTTGTAAAATGCCAGCAAGTACCTTAGAACAGTGATGGTGAACCTTTTAAAGCTTTCATTGATAACAGACAGTCGGCTGTAACACCTGTGCTATAGATTTGCCACCACTGGCTTAGAATAAGTCATAGCATCTTGAATCAGCTTATTAGGTTGACCTTTATAAGTGTCCTGAGATAGAGCGTTCATATAAATTCACTGGAAGAATTTGCTCTGAATATTTGTTATGTCAGATTCAGGGTTTTTTTTTTGTTTTGTTTTGTTTTTTTAATTTGAGAGAGAGAGAGAGAGAGAGAGAGAGAGAGAGTGAGAGTGTGTGTGTGTGGCCAGCTCAGCCCACCAGGGGGCGGGGCTGGCTGGCATGTGGTGCTGGGGGATTGAACCGCGGTCCCTGATG